TGGGTTCACATGAGACCAAAGGTTTTTCGTGAGACCCGTAAGACCAATTTATGTTCATTGATCAACTTTATAAGCTAATGATCAAATAGTCTAAAATTGCACGATAGCAATTTTGTGATTACTGAGAAGTCTCGTGGCGTTTATGAATGTTCAGATTGTCATATTGTAGATTTAATCCAAAGGTTGATAATTGGTCTTACGGGTCTCACGAAAAACCCTTGGTCTCACATGATCCCAAGTCTATATGTGTGTATATATATATATATATATATATATATATATTTGGTGACCCTGTTTCTGCTAATTTTTTATTTAGTCATGCATAAAATTGTTCCAAAAATGTCATTAAATTCCTAGATTTTGAAAATGAAAGAAACTTCTCTGTGTCAATTAGGAAAAGTGGGAAGACATGTTACTTAGGAGTGTGGACATGTTTCTAAGAAAATCAACAAATCTAACCAAACCAGGAAATCCCACTCAGAAGTAGGATATGGGAAGGTTGAGATGTATGCGGAATAAGCACTATCTAGTTGRAAAGTTCTATACATCTGCCCCCCCCCCCCAACGAATTCCTAATTGGAATTAGGGGGTCCTTCCCTCTACCCCAACAAGGTAAAACAGTTGTTTCCGTGAAGACCCCAGCTTGTGCAAGAGTGAGCAAACAAGTGGAAGGAATAACAACTAACATATGGTGAAAGAAGCACGGAAAATAAATAAACAAGAATAAGTAACGGGTATGTGCATTGAAAAGATATCGAGAAGCACAATAAGATTTGTTAAAGAAGTGGTAAAAAGTAATTCATTAGAAGAAAGTGTAAGAAAGTTACCCCAAAGACCACTCTTCGCATCGGGCCATTATATTTTATTTGCACATTAGCTGTAGATGGAAGGGCAACAATACTCGACATGTCGACTGAAAGTATCTCACCCACCTCAAGATTTTTCTGCACCACTAACAACAGAAAGAAAAAGAAGGAAAATAAATAAGTCAAAGTAATATTTAGAAAACAATGCATATGTGATGAAATTCTCTGTCCCCTCAATTTTATTTTATGGTTTCGAGAGAGGAAGAGAGTATTCGGTTAGTTATCAGTTTATGGAGTTTTACCCATATTAGTAGCGCTCAACATTTTATCCAGTATTTTAACGTGCTTATAAGTTGGTTATCAGTTAGTTTTATGGAGTTCAATTGGAGCTTTAAGAAGTTGTGTGTACGCTATAGTAAGTTGTAAATGCTGTATAATAAATGTAACATCGTTAGTATGAATATACTCCATGTGTATACGCTCATTTTAAAATTTTGAAAATCAGGTTCAATTAAATTGAAAAAAAGGATATATGGGTATCAAATTAAAGAGAATAAAATACTCGTTTTTTGATATAATTTGTTCAATTAATAACTTCACTAAGTTTAGGATAATTTAGATTTTAAAAAGAAGAGGTAAATCTATATAGTTTATCAGTTAGTTATCAACTAGTTTTAAGAAGTCATAAGCTATGATAACTTGTAACCTTGAATTTAAAAAACATTTGCATAAATAAACACAAAATGTTTAATGTGTTGCTTTCAAGAGTTTTGGTCGAATGCTTATAATATAGTAATGATATCACAACCAGTAAGGAACAGCATACCAGATCCACCCCCAACTATGAATGCCAAGCCTTGGCCAGATAGCTTTTGTCTCAAGAATCCCTACAAACACCATAAGAACATCTTTAGGTGCATGAATTTGGTTGATTAAATTTGGAGGTATCACTATCTGTTAAGCATGAAAATCTTGCTTGGAGCAATGAGATCTCACCTCGACACCAGGTAAAACATTACGTGCCCTCTGATCAAACGTATTACTGACCTTGACATCACCGACGGAGCAAAGGAATGCATCTGGCTACAAAATAATACCAACAGAAGTCACATATAGACTGCATCGTTGTACTAAAACTCAGGGCCCATTCGGTTTGACAGAATGGTTTTGAGGGATTTGGATTTCGTGGAAAAATTTGGAATTAGAGGGATTTGGAATTACAAGAATTTGCAATCTTTGGTGTGTTTAATTTGTAGGATTTGGAATGGAAATGAATTTCATTCTTTATAAATAATTTCAAAAACAAATTATAAAAAATAATTAAATTACCTTTTTATTAATTGATTATTACAAAACAAGTGTTTTTAACATATTTTAAAACATTATTACAGACAAATCCTACCAAATCCAGGAAATACCAACTACCCTCATGGGATTTCTAAATCCCATGTTTGTGTGGTTTAATTGAAATCCCAGGATTTCAATTCTGGACTTTCTTGTAAACCAAACATGGGATTGGAATGGAATCCAATTCCAAATCCCACAAAATCCCGCAAACCAAACGGGGCCTCGGGGAAAAACCTATGCCGTAGAAAGCATACCTGGCATAAAATTTCACCGCCGAACTTTGATAAGTCGATCTGCATTATAGTATGCCAAAATCAAGTATCGAACATGGCAACTTAATCAACTACAAATTAGGATAATACAAACCGGGAGAATCCTTGCTAAAGAAGGTGCGGCGATGCCAACAAATCCATCACTTGAACCGGTATTTAAATAAAGTGTGCTAGTCACATTCTTGCCAAAGAGCCACTGCCACATTCCTGCCTCATTTTCTGGGGCATAAACGTTTTCCATTTGGGTGGATCCAGACATGTAGCACATACAACCTGCAAAGTATAAAGTATTCACACAATATTGGAGCTTGGATAATTTAATCAAAAACTTTAAGTACAGATCATCAACTCAAATAACTGTCTCGTCCAAAGATCATAGGGTAGAGTGGTGATACTTAAACAGATTAACTCATTGCAGTGAACTATATACTTCAAATGGGCGTCTCCATTCTTTTCAATGTCGTTTCAGCCCTTTGTTTATCAGGTATTCATGATTTTAGCTCCAGGTTTTTGTTTTGTTGTTGCATTTGATTCATTTGATGTTGTAAAATTTCAATTGAAGATATGTTTGTGTAACTAAATTCTGAGTTGTATCAAAAGTGATGGATTTGAATTTACAACTAAGCCTTTGTGATTTTTGAGGTCTTGTAACCGTACTTGCTTTGCTATGCAACTGATGGTTATATCAGTGGTGCAAGTTTGGGAGCGAGTAGTACAATCAACAGTCCACAAGAGTTAGCTATCACCCATTAGCTGTACGGTGTTGATTTCATCATGCAACTAATCTTCAATTGGAACCCTATTATCTACTTTTAAAAGTGACTAAACGGGAAAATTTTAATACCTCCTGTGCAAATATATATGTATGTATATGTGTGTGTGTATATATCAATTGCCTTATGTTAGGTTGTAAATAATTTGTTTAAGAATAGGGATTATTTTATGATAACATAAAGCGTGTATCAAAGTTACCAGGTTAAGAGATTTCAGATGTGTATACATAATACTGAATAATCCGTCAAGGAGGCCAGAAAGCAGTACTGTGACCGTGTATGTAAAGGGCGATTATCATCCTTCTGAAATGGTTGACTGTCAGCTTCATGATATAGCTCAGTTGTTTGGTGTTGGTATAACTGGCTGTGAAAGTGTGCATCGGGTGTCGGTATTTAGAATAAGAACAAGAAACAAAGAAGTTGCTTATTTTTGCATACTGTCAAAGCTAGGCAAAAAAAGGGGAAACAATTATGTTTATTCTCAAGGGACTAGTCATCCTTCAGGAATTAGATTAGGATTTATGTTACCATTCACAACACCAGTTAGGTTAGAAGGTTCCAAATTGCAAGGACTCATTTTTCAGGATCTAACATTTTACCAAATGCTTACCGGGAATGATCTCGACCATCAAAATGAGTAGTTCGTAAACGTCTCTTACCCGGTAAGCGCTAACCGGGGAAGAGCCTTTTCCCTCCCTCACTAGGTAAGAACCTCGGTTGTTGTCATGCCTCTTACCGAGTAAGATTCCCGGTCCTTGTCATACTCATCCAGTAAGGTAAATGACCCGGTAAGCATTTATCAAGTAAGCGTTTGGTAAATGGCCTATGCCCTGATTGCTTAAGCATTGAAGAGGACGTTTGGAATGTGTAGAATGACACACAGAAACCCAGAAACAGATATTTCAGATGGTTAAACAATGTAGCATACTTAATCAATACCAATTTACCTGGTCTTGCACTGACCTTCTCTTCTGGCTTCAACATTATCTGGCATAGACAAATCAGAATCAAGGCCCACCCCGGAAGGGGGGGGGGGGGGGGTAGGTTATTTTGGTGGAGTTTGAAGTTCTTCAGAAAAACATGAATGATACATAAAATACCTGAACTATTTGAGCCTCGCCACCTAAAATCTGAAAAGGCGTAACATCTTCTTGCTCACTCTATTGAAAATTAACCCCATGAGTCAAATTATTGAAAAACTAAGCAAACACTAGAAGCAGATATTCTACAGTTGATTCAAGTTAAGATACTTTGCTGTGTTCGTGAGCACAACCCACATTTTTAACCTCTTCCTTTATAAATGAGCACAGAGAACATATAATTAATGCAAAAAAATGTTTAAAGGAGAAGGCAATGAATACTCGTGTTCAATATGAAGTGCAAAAATTGAGATGTTAGCAACAAACAAACAAACAAGGACGCGATTTGAAGGCTAAGGTAAAGCTAAAACAGTTAAATTAGACAAAATGCACCGTGCATCTGATTTTAATATTAGGGTCGTTTACCAAATGCATACCGGGTAAGAGTTTTCTCCATCACTTACCATGTAAGGTTCTTGGTGCTTGCTATGCCTCTTACCAAGTAAGATTCTAGGTCCTTGTCATGCTCACCCAGTAAGGCAAGTGACACCGGTAAGCATTTTCATAAACAACCACAAAGTATAGGTTTCTATGTTTCGATCAATTGGTATCTCCTCCATGGAAGGATGCCAAGTATTGATTGGTACACCATCATCCCTCTTTCCTTATGAATTCATCCTGCTTACCTTCACTTTCTAATTTTTACCAAGTGGTGTTTGGCCCAAATGATATTAATAGATCTCTAAAACCCTTAGCTTATGGCTTCGAGTCTCCTTCAAAGACATCAGTATTTCAATACCGTAAATCTAATAGGTGATACTGATAGCCAACTCCTGATGAGTGAGGAGTGTTGATTGTACTACTCGCACCCAAACTTGCACTATCTTTCAATCAGTTGCATAGCAAAGCAAGTACAATCAACGACCTCAAAAATCACAGAGACTTAGCTGTAAATTCGAATCCATCACTTCCGACACAATTCAAACATATATTTACACAATTCAGACATATAGTTGCACAGACACATCTTCAATTGAAATATTTCAACAACAAAAAAACACATCAAATGCAACAACAATACATAAACCTGGAAATAAAACCATGAATACCTGATAAACAAAGGGCTGAAACGGCGTTGAAAAGAACGGAGCCGCCATGAGGGAAGCAGAAAGCGCGCGCGCACACACACACACTTGAGTTTTTTAAGGGATCATATATCACTTAAATCAAAACCCCAAGGAAGATGCCGATCTGGGCCTCCTCGGATGTTGTAAGCTCTGAGATGGATTTTGTTTTTCCTTAATTGCAGATTTCACAGAGCTGAACCAAATTACTGAATGACCGCCGATGATCGCCAGAGGGTATTCTTGACATTTTACTTTTCTGAGATTCTGTAACGATGTTTTAGCCGCAGGCTAAAAAAGGGAAAAACAATTCAAGTTTATGATATGTTTACAAAAGTGCAATTTAAATATAATACCCTCATTTAATTATGTTGATATGAGATTGGGGTTTAAAGAGTTATTTGACTGTTGTTGAATGGTTTAGTGTAAAATGATTAATTGGTCGGAATGATTAAGCGACTCTCTTGATATAATGTAAAATGAAATATAATTGTTTACAATGAAATTAGGACGCTGAATGGTTAAAAGATGCTCAAGATATAAAATCATTCAGAGAATTCTATAACCATTAATAGGCATATTTTTTTTTGTTAAACAAGATTCAACTTTTAACGATTTTGAGAATATCTCTTAATAAAACTATTAAGAGATAAACAAACAACCTCTAATGAATTAAAATCTGTTGATTATAATCGGATTTTTAATTCAAGTATTTGTCTTGCAAACGTTAATCAAGTTTCATTAAATGACCCATGTGCCTCTTGTTTGAGGGTATTTCAGTCTTTTTTCTCATCATTCTTCCTCTATTTTTCTTATTTCTCCTCACAATTATTTTTATTTGTTTCTTTCTAGATGTCAGATCATTTTTTTTTTCGTATATAACCAGACTATCCTCATGCGAGATACACGTGCGAACAATTGATAGATGGAAGATAACAGTTGTTAAGAGAATAAGCAGAAACGAAACAATAATACAACACAGTGAAAGAAGTAGCGGATTTTTTTTTTTTTTTGTAATATTTGTTGTGCAAGAAGAACTCCTAGCGAACCAAGGCGAGCAACAAAGCAATAAAAAGTAGCCCATCTAATGGTATTTAACCACGGACTTCTGTTGTATGTCCCGACAATCAATATTTGCTTCGATGAGTTGATCTTTAATTGGAAAAGTGAATCACCAACCAACCCAGCAGAATTAAATTGAGAAATGAAATCCAAAGTTTTAACTAATTAGAGATGAAAAGTGTTATTACTGGGTAATCGATCAAACTAGGCATTTTAGATGAACTTGTTCACTTTTTTGTCTGTTTGTGATCGTTTGAACCAAAATTGTCAAGATTTTACAATTGCTCATGAAGTTTTGAAATTATAAAATGGTCATCATGGTTTGTAAAAACGTCTGGATCTAGTCAATTTTTTTGACGACCGCTAGAAAATTCTGTTAAATAAGGGACGTTTTGGTCATTTTTATTTTTTTATTGTCTTTTGCTCAATTAAAATCTATGATTTTGGTCCTTGTTGGGTTTTATTGGGTAAAAAACAATAAAAAATGAAAATTCGTTATGTTTAACGGAATTTTTTAACGGTTGTCAAAAAGATTGACCAAATTCAGACATTTCCTCAAACTATGATTGTTATCTTGTAATTCAAAATTATACGTATTAAAAATGTTATTATTAACAAATTATAGGGACCAAATTTGTAGTTTACTCTAAACTTGTCCGATGGTATATTAGTAACTGGGGACATGAACCATTTTACCTGGATTCCGGTCAACAATGGCGTATAAAACAAGCCAACCAAAAAACCGTTGGCTGGCCTCTGGTGCCCCCACTACCACGCCACGTTGACTCTCTTCCCAAATCCTTTCGAAAAGTTTCACCGGATTTCAACTTCCGACCGACCGATTTCAAGCTCCAGCTTATCAATATCTTTTTCAGTCATCTCCGACGACTTCCCGACGGTTTCCTCAACCATCTTCAGCTCTATGATCGAGGTTTGATAACTTTTCATCCAATTTCGAAGTGTATTATGTGTTTTTTGTAAGTATTGTTTTGCTGGTATCCTATTGAAGTTAGTTTTTATTTAAATTTATGGAAAGCTTATCTCCATCTGGTCCAGAATAGAAGAGGAGTTTAACCAGAAAGTTAGATCAAAGGGGAATTTAGATCCTGCTCTTGAGATATAGATCATAACACCACATTTATACATATAATCCACTTCGTTTCTATTGATTTGATGTTTTAGCAATTAGAATCACCACTGGGCATAGTATATAAACAATCATTTTTAGTTTTGAAACCTATTAGAGCTGTATGGTTTAGTGGTAAATTTAACATTGCAATAACACACTTATTACAGTTCTTATATGATTGAGATGGGTGTAAGCAATTTTGTATTTCATTTACATTTACCATCTCATATTCTCATGCTTATGGCTTTGAATTTGCACTCTCAGTTGTGCATTTTTTATTTTCCCGTGCGGGCACAGATGGCTATTGCTTTGTGGTGCATTCTAAGTTGACAGATTAGATTAATCTCCATTCCAAGCTTTTATAATAATATTATCAGAACATGACCACCGACCGTGTGTGTTTGCAGTGATCTTGCAACTTCTCAAACGTTGGAATATGCTTAAAGCATGGGACAGTTATAAGGAGCTGTTAAATAGAATAGGATTTCAAAATTTTATGTTGTTGAGTTCCTTGAGGAATGGTAGGCTTATGAAGAGGAATCGGTGTTTGTGGGTCCCACAAATTGATATTTGATTTAGTAGAAGCAAGTGCTGAATTTGGAGGAGATGAAGATAGTACACCCTGTCATCGTTTTCTTGATGTTCAGAATTGATTGGAAGAAGTTACTCCCTATCGGAGCCATTATCACAATAACTTTTGCTCTTCTTCAAACGAAAATGCTTCCTTATCAACTTATGACACGGAATTCGTCTCTTCCAAATACAAATCACTTTGATGCTAACTTGGAGAGTCAAATCACTCCCCTGATCAGAGATAAACAGTCTGAGGCGATTATGGTAGACCCTGAGACTCTGCTTAATTCTTCTGGTCAACAAATTCAGCCAGTTGCAGTTGTGCAAGAGAAAGTCAAAGTTACCCAAAGGAGGAACAAGACGGATGTCATTAAGTCAAATATTTCAATGAAACCATCTTCACCATTTTTCTTATCTGCTTCTGAAAGAAGGCATAAGCGTTATCTAGTAAGATTACCAAGATTCTAATGAAAATTCAAGGTTGTTGTTTATCCTCATTCCTGATAAAACTAACAAAATGAACTGAAATCTGCAGAGAGATATAAAGATACTATCACCATATGAAGCACTTGTGTATGCCAAAAAGGAGGTTGACGCTGTCTCAGTTGGTATTGATGACCATGATTCAAATCTATATGCCCCTTTATTCAAGAATGTATCTGTTTTTGAAAGGTAGGCTTGATGATCCTTGTAAAATTATTGCATGGTATTTATGATTCATCCGCCTCTGATCCATATACCTTGTGAAATCTTTAGAAATGCGAACATGAAAGATTATACTTATTTGTATCATACCTATGCTATCTTTTACCATATGGACCGTGCTTTATGAATTTCATTGTGCTATTGTCTCAAATGGGTATCACATGAATTGAACATTTGCCATACGATCATATCATCACCCGCTCTGATATTCGTTTTATTACCATATGTAAACGTTAAAAGGAGAAAAGAGGTGGCAGTGAACACCATTTTGTGGAGTCTCAGGGTCTGAATAGTTTTGTTAAATCCTTTTTTTTCTGGATAGGGTCAAACAGAAGTTCTTCACAACTATTGAGATCAATGGATTGTAACAGGAGGAATAAGACAACTTAAATTAAGAGAATATAGGCCAACCAATCATCACCATTAACAAATGCACCAAGTGGATGATCCATACACATGGCACTGTTCTTGGCCACCTTTTGCTTGTAAACCTCAATTAAAAACTTTTCAGGGTGCCACAATGTAGTTGATCTGCGACTCATTATGGTCATTGTGTGGTTTCAGTTTGGGCAATTAAGGAGAATGGTGCACAAGTCATGCTTCAAGTATAAAGAGTGAGGCAACCATAGGCTTCTCCGATTTGAGATTCGTGAAAAGAAACCTGAAGTAGGTATAGCCAAAGCATCTCTGCGTTTTCATTTGACGGCAACGTACCTGCATTCTCTTTGGAAATATGATGGGTTTGGCGAATAAGTTTCTAGAAATATACAAAGCAGAATGACACTAGACTTTCTTACTCTCATATTAAAGTTGATTCAACTCTATTTATGTTGTAGATAGAGTTTTCCTTTGGTTTTTAGTTGGTTATGCATATTAGACCACATATTTTCATTTGTTCGTATCAGTAAAAGATGTAAATATAGATGCTAATAATGCTATATTGATCTTCATGAATCATGGCCATCACAAGGATCATAGAATTGTACTCCATCTTCCCATGGAAACCACAACCATTTTCATTTCAGAATGTCCCATGTCAATTGCTGCTTTGGCAAATTCAGGATAAAGTTAACTGTTTGCTTATTGTCATCATTACAAATCATCAATGGAATTGATTTTGCTTCAAAGGTTCCTCTATTGTTTAATGTTACAATTTTCAATAATCATTAAGCTAATGTTACAATTTTCATTAACATTAGACGGGCACATTAATTAGTCACTTGCATGCTGTTTCTAGCTACTTAGGTCATCACATGCTAATTTTACGCTTCACTTAGCCGCAACATAGTTCCATTCACGAACTGTTTCTGGCAGGAGCTATGAGTTGATGGAGCTGATACTTAAGGTTTATATATATCAAGATGGAAAGAGACCAATTTTTCATAATCCCTATCTCAGAGGAATATATTCTTCGGAAGGATGGTTTATGAAGTTCATGGAGGCAAACAGACAGTTTGTCACAAAGGACCCAGAAAAGGCTCACCTATTCTATCTACCATACAGTGCACGGCAACTCCAACGTGCTCTCTTTGTTCCCAACTCGCATAATATCAAGCCATTATCACTTTTCTTACGGGATTACGTCAATAAGCTTGCTTCAAAGTATCCTTTCTGGAATCGGACCCGCGGTTCAGATCACTTTCTAGTTGCTTGCCATGATTGGGTATGATACTCAACTATCTTGATTTATTGCTTTGCTTTCTGCCAGTAATGCTTTTATGAATAAAAATCACTTATCCCCAAATTCACAATCAAAATAAGACACGTTAGAGAGAGAATACAAAGATGAACTATATATATAGACGAAGGATCGCGTGAGAATAGGAGTTAAGGTGAGAAGTGAAGAAGGGATTTGGACCCTTGATCACTTTTAATCCCAAAACAACCCATGAATTGTGCTTTAGAAGGGAATGATCTAGTGGTTCTCTTCAATTAGGATTGATCCAAGTGCGGAGATCCCATGACCCTTCTTACCCTTCTCATCGTAGCTTTCATTCTCACCGGAACCCAACTCTTGGATCATACTGGGAAGGTTCAAATAAGAAAGATAAATATGGTAAGAACGTAAGAAGAAATGATTCATATATGAATCATTGGTGAAAGGAAAAGTGGGTTCACATATGCATCTTCAAATTGACTTTTTCAGGTTTACTAATGATTTACATATGAATAATTTATTCTTACGTTCTTACCATTTTTACTTTCTTATTTGAACCCCCCCCCCCCCCAACTCTCTCTCTCTATATATATATATATCCATCTGCAATTACAAATGAACACAGATATGCCATTAACTTCTGTTTATGTATCTTCTAGTAACCATAAGCTAGCTTATTTTTTGAGATTATTGAAAAATCCTGTTTTTAACGCCACTTCAAGTAGTTTTTGCCACTTTCTTTTTCCAATTATTCCCTATTTTTCCAAATAATTTTTCAACACGACTTTCTACGTTCTTTTACATTGACATCTAGCTTATCAGCTAGTTCTTACCAAACATGAGTAGTTCATCGGCTACATCTAACTAGCTTTTCAGCTAACAACTAGCTTATAAGCCAACAATCGGTGTAACAGCTAGTTTGCCAGACATAGCATATGCCCTTTAATATACTTCTTTGTCTCAGCTCCTATTATGGTTGTACTTTTCCAGGGTCCATACACATTAAAAGAGCATGAAGAACTGACCAAGAACACCATAAAAGCCCTCTGCAATGCCGACACTTCCGAAGGCGTATTTCTCGCCGGAAAAGACGTTTCCCTACCAGAAACCACCATACAAAATCCCCGGAGACCTCTTAGAAACATGGGCGGTAAAAAGATCTCCCAGCGTCCTATACTTGCTTTCTTTGCCGGAAGAATGCACGGTAGGGTACGCCCGATACTCCTCAAACACTGGGCCAATAAAGACAAGGAAATGATAATTTCTGGGCCGATGTCCTACAAAACATCCCGAACCATGTCCTATTCTCTCCACATGAAATCGAGCAAATACTGTATCTGCCCAATGGGTTTTGAAGTCAACAGTCCAAGAATCGTGGAAGCCATATATTACGAATGTGTTCCCGTGATCATTGCCGACAATTTCGTTCCTCCGTTGAACGAAGTGCTTGATTGGAGCGCATTCTCCGTGACCGTGGCTGAAAACGACATTCCTAAACTAAAGGAGATCTTAGAAGCCATTCCTATGAAGAGGTATCTTACTATGCAACATAATGTGAAAATGTTGCAAAGACATTTTTACTGGAATCGTTCGCCCGTTAAATTCGATATGTTCCATATGATTCTACATTCGATTTGGCTTAGCAGGCTTTACCAAATTCAGATACCAACATCATCTTAGTTCTTAGAATTCGAGTTCTTTCTATTTGTTTCACTTACCCTTTTTGCATGTCGGGGGGATTCTTGTCAGACTCCCTGTAGACAGAAGTAAAGTCTGTGTACATCTTACCTCCAGATCCTACCTTCAGATGAGATATACTTGGTTTATGTGGTTTTTAGTTCTTAGAACTCGAGTGCTTTCTATTTGATTTACTTACCCTTTTTGCATCTCGGGGGTATTCTTGGAAACAACCTGACTAAGAAGTAAGTCTCCATACATCTATCTCCAGACCCATATGGTATATACTTGGTTTGTTTTAGCCTTTAGTTCTTCAAACTCGACTCCAGTTTGAGATGAGATTCAAGAAACCGGAGGAAATCTTGGACTAGATCATTCTCCTTGGTGTTAGATCTTCATTTATTTGTTGTGTGATCATATATAGCTGGTGATGGTTATGAGACATGTACAGTGATACAACTTCAGAGGGTGGTACCTCATTGTGTGATTCGAGTCGGGTATTTTTAGATCATAAACAAACATTTTGATTTGGTTATTTGTTGTACGTGACATGTGAAATCATGTGTATGTATTGTATATATATATACGTATATTTGGTTGTGTGTATATGTATGTATGTATGGGTTCCATGTATTTCTTTGACATCAGTAATAATTATAAAGTCAGTATTTTACTGAACTAACAAAAAAGTCATTTTCACCAAATTAAGATGAGAGCCAAAGTTTTTGTACAGTAATTCAAAGAATATGATGTTCTTACAAGAACTCTCTCCATTGAATGATGATTTTTTCTTAGAACCTACACTAAGAACGTTCATGGGAGATGTTCTAACGTCTTCAGCAACCTCTTTAAAATTGTTAATTTGTTATAACGAAAAGTGTTATTTTTTAGTAAATATTTAATCTGAGAGTTTATATAAGTGAATAAACATATTCTATTTTAAGGTATGTTCTCCTAATTTTAAAATTTTCATCTCTTTCTTCTATTTTATCTATATTATATTATAAAATATTTGATAAAAACTCTTAAAAATCAATTTTTATGAATAAAATATTGTTTATTGATGTATATTACTTAAAATTCAAGATTACAAATGGATTGTACGTAAGTACAACTAATAATCTGGATTGTACGTAAGTACAACTTATTAAAGCTTCATGTTTAAAATCCGTGTAACTAACTGTAGATAAATATAATTAAATACTAGATATACATCTTATTTTAAATATAAAAAATCTAAAATATAATTAGGATGCTCATTAACATTTAAAAGAATACTTAATTATTATCTTTGTAAAAAGTATATATTATTATCTATACTAAATTACTATATTATAAAACATTTGACAAAAACTCTTAAAAATCATTTTTTATATATAAAATACTGTTTATTGATACATATTACTTAAAGTTCAAGATCACAAGTAAATTATGCGTAAGTACAATTTATTAAACCTTCATTTTTAAATTTGTATAATTAGCTAAAGATAAACATAATCAAATACGAGATAAACATTTTATTTTGAATATAAAAAATCTAAAATATAATTAGGATAATCATTACTTATAACAAAATACTTAATTATTATGTTTATAAAAATTATATTATTAAAAAATAAATAAATTACTTTGTTATTAAATCTAAATTAAATTATAAAAAAATACTGAATTAAATAAATTACACAAAAAACCAGAACTTAAAAAAAGTAAATTTGATATTAATATCAATATTTTTTTTCCAAATTTTATAATCTATACTATATTATAAAGCATTTGGCTAAAACTCTTAAAAACTCTTAAACTCTTAAAACTCTTAAACCCGTTTATCCCTATCCGATTTCATCTCATAACTGAATTCGTGTAACTAACTG